AGAGGGCCCTTTTTGTTTTGAAGAATCTGATACCCCGAAAAAAGTGGGCGAGAGCTCAAACACGTGCCGGGTCTCCCCAAACCGCCGGCTACGCGCACAGACACAGTGCGCGGCAGCGCCGACACGTCAACCCGCGTGTACGTCAGCGACGGGTCCCGCACGCCGCACGAGGCGCATGCGTGCAGCGGCAGCGCGTGCGCCATGCGCTCGTCGCTCCACTCGCCCAGCAGCCGCCGCTTCGTCTCGTCGGAGACGTGCACGCAGCGCTGCAGCAGCGCCGCCGTCTCGTCCTCGGGCCGCTCCAGGTCCATGACGACGTTCGTCGAGGTGTGGAAGCGCGTCTCCAGGTCGATGGCCGCCTGCTCGGCCGCGGCGAGCTTGCCCTGGTCGACGCACATGCCGCACACCGCGTGCGCCGGGCAGCCGCACTGGCCGCGTTGTGGGCGCACGGTCTTGGCGACCGCCGGCGCTGCGCGCCGGTCGTGCTGCTCACGCTGCCGGCGGCGCTGGTCGCGCGCCTGCCGATCGCGCGTGTTCGCGGCGGCTGCATCTCTTGCTCGTTTCGCTCGCACCCGAGCGGCTGTCGCCAGGCGCTTCAGGTCGGCGGTGCTGCGCGCGCGGCCGTCGGCCAGGCACAGCCACATGTCCTCCTCCTTAGCAGGCTCGCACGGCTTGCCGTCGAACTGCGGCTGGCGCCCGCGACGATGCTTCGCCCAGGCCGGGCACGATGGTGCCGCGACGAGCGGCGTCGAGGCGACGGCCATCGATGGGTCCAGAAGACTTGGAAATCGAGCACAATTGCGTTACATGGGCATGGCCGGGGTTTCTGCACCGAACGATCTTACTTTCGGTCTATCGAAAGTGTTGATCGATAAAAAAAACGTCGGCGGGAGCCGCTTGCTTGGGCTCCAGCGGCCACTGGGGCTGACTCTCCGGCTGACCGTTGCAAGGGCGGACCCTCCACCCGTGGACGCTGCGCTCACACACATGGCTCGCAAGCGATCCGCATCGCCAGCCAAGCCGAAGAAGGCGAAGGCGGCAAAGCCCGCCGCGAAGTCGGCAAAGGACATCTATCTCACCCTCCTCCAGCAGATCCCTGCCGCGCAGCGCGAGGTGCTGCAGCAAGCGCTCGGGAAAGGCGCCTCGCTGGGCATGGACGATGTGTTCGCGGCGCTGGGCGTTCTCCGGGTGGCTGGCGCCGTGTGGGCGCTCCTCGGCCCGCCGGCTCCTTTCCACGAGCTCAAGATCTTCAACACGGTCCTCGGGCTCGACTTGGAGGACGTGGAGCTGCAGCACGCGCTCGGGCGGGGCGGCCTCCTCTCCGAGGCGTGGGAGGGCCTCGCGCCCGCGAAGCGGCGGCGCTGCCTCGCCTTTGTGTCGGGGATGTACGCCTTCATCAACGAGGCGCAGCTCTCTCTCATCCTGTACGGAGAGCTGGGCGAGGCGACGCACGGCGGGCGGGCGCGGGTCGCCCTGCTGCAAGGCGACCTGGCGCAGGCCGCGGCGCTGCTCGAGGAGATGAACGGCACGGCGGGCCACAACTTGACGCCGGCGCACCTGCAGCTCTGGTCGGTGGTCACCGTCAAGTATCGGGGTCTGCAGCCGGGATGGTGCTCGGCTGTCTGCTGGGGATGGTGCCGCTGCTCTTCCCGGAGGAGCACCGGCTGTGGGCGTCGCGATGCACTCTCGAGCACAAAGAAAATAACAATAAGCATCGACACACACGCTGCTCGCTGGTCGCTGGCACTGACAAAGTGTGAAGTGAGGTGAAGTGACACTTGCCAAGGCCCAAGCAAGAGCCCCCCCACTTTTTCCCCCGGAGAAGACCTAAGTAAGGAAGAGTCAAGAGAAGTCAGTGTCAGAGAGAGAGAGATTTTTATTAACCAACAAGAAATCACGACTCTCACAGTGATTTGGGCTCGGCAGCTTGTTAGCCCTCAGCCGAAGCTGGGGCCGGTCCCGTAGCCGAGAGAGCCCGCGCCGATGAGTTCGACGCGGTCGGGGGGCCTGCGGAGAGGCCAGCGAGTGTCAGAAGATCTAACTCTAAGCACTAAGGATGGAATTCTTGATAAGTTGGGGATAAGTCCGGCGGATTTGGCTCTCTTTTTCTCCTCTGGCAGTGTGCTTTCAAAAAGACAAAAAGAGGTACACCCCTCCTGTCATGTTGTTTGGTGAGTGTGTGCTGCGGGGCCGTTAACGTGCGATAAAGGGAGCGCTTGTCGCGCTCATGTCACGCTCAGGAGACGGATTCCGGAATGGATCTTCCTTGAACATGAGCGTGACATGAGCGGATTTGAGACGCTTGTCATGCTGACCCGAGGAGGGTACCGGAACTTGGATTTGTACCTGGCCGAGGGCTCACAACTCGTGGTAGCGCGCCGCACGCACAGGCCAACTCTCTGTGCTGTCCCTCTCCCATATGGGGAAGGCCGCCGCTGCGCCCGCGCCCGACCGCAACCTGCGGAAGCGCGAGCCGATCAAGTACAAGAGCTACGACGACGCAGTTGAGGACGAGGAGGACGACGCAAAGGCGGTGTCCAAGCGGCGCAAGTCGGCCGCGTCGGATGGCGATGGGCGGG